AACCAATGATATCTTTTAGGCAGTATGAAAAAATATAAAATTTTGATATTTTATTCGTATCGATATTCTAAGGTGATTGGTGCGAGTCGGGATTTTTTTGAGGTGTTTTTATGTCTTTTTCTTGATTTCTATTATTTTTTTTACGTTACGAATTAATATTTTTGATATTTTTCGGGCAATAACGAAAAAAATGTAAAATTTTGATATTTTATTCTTATCGATATTCTAAGGTGACAAGTGCGATTCAGAAAATTTTGAGCTGATTTTATGTCTTATCTAGATTTTTATATTTTTCGGACGTTTATGAATTAAAATTTTTGATATATTTTTGGGAGTCACGAAAAAATGTAAAATTTTGATAATTTATTTGATCGATATTTTAAGGTGACTGGTGCGATTCGAGAATTTTTTGAGGTGTTTTTATGTCTTTTTCTTGATTTTTATATTTTTCAAACAGTCACGAAAAAATGTAAAATTTTGATATCCTATTTGTATCGATATTCTAAGGTTACTGGTGCAATTCGAGAATTTTTTTTAGGGGTGTTTTTATATATTTTTCTTGATTTTTATATTTTTCGGACGTATACAAAATAAAAAATTTGATATTTTACGGACAATCACGAAAAAATCTAAAATTTTGATATTTTATTTGTATCCATATTCTAATGTGACTAGTGCGATTCACGAACTTTTTGAGGTATTTTTATGTTTTTTCTTATTTTTATATTTTTCAGACGCTTACGAAGTAAAATTTATTATATTTTTCGGGCACTGACGAAAAATGTAAAATTTTGATATTTTATTCTTATCGATATTATATGGTGACTGGTGATATTCGAAAAAATTTTGAGGTGTTTTTATATCTTTTTCTTGATTTTTATATTTTCGGACGTTTACTCATTAAAAATTTTGATACCTATCGGGCAGTCATGAAAAAATATAAAATTTTGATATTTTATTTGTATCGATATTCTAAGGTGACTAGTGCGATTCAGAAATTTTTGAGTTTATTTTATGTCTTATCTAGATTTTTATATTTTTCGGATGTTTACGAATTAAAATTTTTGATATATTTTTGGGAGTCACGAAAAAATGTAAAATTTTGATATCTTATTTGATCGATATTCTATGGTGACTGGTGCGATTCGGAAATTTATTGAGGTGTTTTTATGTCTTTTTCTTGATTTTTATATTTTTTCAGACGTTTACTCATTAAAATTTATGATATTTTTCAGACAGACACGAAAAAATGTAAAATTTTGATATTTTATTCGTATCGATATTCTAAGGTGACTAGTGCAATTAACGAACTTTTTTAGGTGTTTCTATGTCTTTTTCTTGATTTTTATATTTTTCGGACGTATACAAATTAAATTTTTTGATATTTTCTGGGTAATCATGAAAAAATCTAACATTTTGATATTCTATTCGTATCGATATTCTAAGGTGACTAGTGCAATTAACGAACTTTTTTAGGTGTTTCTATGTCTTTTTCTTGATTTTTATATTTTTCGGTAGCTTACGAAGTAAATTTTTTGATATTTTTTGGGCAGTGACGAAAAAATGTTAAATTTTGATATTTAATTTTATCGATATTCTATGGTGACTGGTGCGATTCGAAATTTATTTTAGGTATTTTTATGTCTTTTTTTTATTTTTATATTTTCGAACGTTTACTCATTACAATTTTCGATAATTATCGGGCAGTCACGAAAAAATGTAAAATTTTGATATTTTATTCGTATTGATATTCTAAGGTGACTGGTGCGATTCATGTATTTTTTGAGATATTCTTATGTATTTTTCTTGATTTTTATATTTTTCTAATGTTTACGAATTAAATTTTTTAATATTTTCGGGCAGTCATGAAAAAATATAAATTTTAAGGTATTTTAATGTCTTTTTTTTTATTTTATATTTTTGGGACGTTTAATCATTAATTTGTTTGATATTTTTCGGACAGTCACGAAAAAAATGTAAATTTTTGATATTCTATTCGTATCGATATTCTAAAGTGACTGGTGAGATTCAGAAATTTTTTGAGGTGATTTTATGTCTTTTTCTTGTTTTTTATATTTTTCAAATGTTTACGAATTAAAATTTTCAATATTTTTCGGGCAGTAAAGAAAAAAATGTAAAAATTTTATATTCTATTCGTATAGACATTCTAAGGTGACTGGCGCGATTCCTGAATTTTTTGAATTGTTTTTATGTCTTTTTCCTGATTCTTATATTTTACGGACGTTTACGAATTAAGATTTTTGATATTTTATGGGCAGGGACCAAAAAATGTAAAATTTTGATATTTTATTTGTATTGATATTCTAAGGTGACTGATGCAATCCAAGAATTTTTGGAGGGGTGTTTTTATGTCTTTTTCTTGATTTTTATGTTTTTTCGAATGTTTACAAATTAAAACTTTTGATATTTTTTGGGCATTCACGAAAAATGTAAAATTTTGACATTTTATTTGTGTTGACATTCTAAGGTGACTGGTGCGATTTAGGAATTTTTAGAGGTGTTTTGATGCTTTTTTTTATTATTATATTTTTCGGACGTTTACAAATTATTATTTTTATATTTTTCGGGCAATCACGAAAAACGTAAAATTTTAATATTTTATTAGTTTCATATTCTAAGGTGACTGGTGCGATTCAGGAATTTTCGAGGTGTTTTGACATTTACGAATTAAAATATTTTATAATTTTTTTAGCTGTCACGAAAAAATGTAATATTTTAATATTTTATTCCTATCGATATTTTAAGGTGACTAATGCGATTCGGGAATTTTCAAGGTGTTTTTATATCTTTTTGTTGATTTTTATATTTTTCGGACGTTCACGAATTAAATTTTTGATATTTTTCGGGTATTCACGAAAAAAATATAAAATGTTGATATTCTATTCGTATCGATATTCTAAGGTGACTGGTGCGATTCAGTAATTTTTTGAAGTGTTTTTGTGTCTTTTCTTGATTTTTATATTTTTCGGACGTTCACGAATTAAATTTTTGATATTTTTCGGGTATTCACGAAAAAAATATAAAATGTTGATATTCTATTCGTATCGATATTCTAAGGTGACTGGTGCGATTCAGTAATTTTTTGAAGTGTTTTTGTGTCTTTTCTTGATTTTTATATTTTTCAAACGTTTACGAATTAAAATTTTTGATGTTTTTCGAGCAGTCACGAAAAAATGTAAATTTTTGATATTCTATTCGTATCGATATTCTAAGGTAACTGGTGCGATTCAGAATTTTTATATTTTATCGATTTTTATATTTTCAGACGTTTACGAATCAAAATTTTTGAAATTTTTCGGGCAGTCACGAAATAATGTAAAATTTGATATTTTATTCGTATCGATATTCTAAGGTTACTGGTGTGATTATGGAATTTTGAGGTGTTTTTATGTCTTTTTCTTGATTTTTATATTTTTTAGACGTTTACAAATTATAATTTTTTATATTTTTTGAGCAGTCACGAAAAAATGTAAAATTTTATTATTTTATTTGTATCGATGTTCTTAGGTGACTGGTGAAATTTAAGAATTTTTTGGGGTGATTTATGTCTTTATCTTGATTTTTATATTTTTTCAGACGTTTACTAATTAAAATCTTTGATATTTTCGGGCAGTCAAGAAAAAACGTAAAAAATTGATATTTCATTATTATCGATATTCTAGGTGACTGGTGCGATTCGGGATTTTTTTGAGGTGTTTTTATTGTTCTTTTTCTTGATTTTTATATTTTTTCAGACGTTTACTAATTAAAATCTTTGATATTTTCGGGCAGTCAAGAAAAAACGTAAAAAATTGATATTTCATTATTATCGATATTCTAGGTGACTGGTGCGATTCGGGATTTTTTTGAGGTGTTTTTATTTCTTTTTCTTGATCTTTCTATTTTTCGAACGTTTACGAATTAAATTTTTTCATATTTTTCAGGCATTTATGAAAAAAATATTAAATTTTGATATTTTATTCGTATTGAGTTCCTTTTATGTTAAAAAAAAATAATCAAAACCTAGGCTATGATATTGCAGGATGGCGGCCAATCCTCTATGGGGATTGGCTATCAACTTTCAAATTCTGAATTTCCTTCCTTACCAATCAGTTCCAATTCTGTTTCAATCAAAACTAACTTGCCGTTGGAAAAATCGTTTGCAAAGTCTATTTTAGTAAAGGAGGCAGAATCTCAACATCATGATGATCTCAGGAAGGAATTTACAATAGTTGGGGGTATCCCACAAATCAAATGGACTGAGGAGGAAGTGACTAAAATGAACCGTATTGAAAAAGTTCAATTCGTTGTAGTTGGGAAATTTACATATGAGTGGTCGGATCTTGAAGAATTGAGGAAAATAATTCCTCAGCAATGCAATGTTAACGGTAGTTGTCATATTGGATTACTTCGGAGTAAACATATTCTTATACGTCTAACCAGGCAGGAGGATTTCGTTAACCTAATCTCAAAGGGGGCTTACTATATTACTAGTAAGGATGGGTACTCGTACTTGATGCATACCTTGATTTACGACTCAAAATTTAAGGTTAATGAAGAAACAACAATGACCAAGGCATGGATATCTTTTCCAAATCTATTGCCTACCTTTTTTGTCAATGAGTGTTTATTTTCTCTTGCATCCACAGTGGGCAAACCAATACAGCTGGACCAAGCTACCATCAACAAGACAAGGCCTAGTTGTGCGAGGGTGAAAGTTTTGATAGACCTTGTAGGATAATTGCCTAAAGCAGTGCAAATGAATATTGAGAATGTTGCTTTTGGAGAAATAAGATCTAATACGATTATAATCCAATATGACTATGTCCCTAAATACTGCTTTGATTGCAAGGTGCAAGGTCACAACAAGGAAAATTGTAAGGTTAGGATGAGGAGAAAAGAAGATCATAACTATCAGCACGATAAGATAGAGCCGCAGATTAGCCTAGAACGCCAGATTCCTTATGGTCACCAAATGCAGAAAGGGAAGGCAAAAATACTGTCAAGTGGGAAAGTAGTTGGAGATTCAGGTATATGGAATATTGTTAGGGATAAAAGGGTCTTTGCTCCTCAACTAACCACCAGAGTGGAGAACAAATTTGAGGTTCTAGCTTAAGACCACCTTTCAGAAGAAGAATCTTGTCATAACATTGATAATGATAATGCTGAATTACAAGCTAAAAAGGGTGAACAAAATAATCAGTCAACAAAGGAATGGGTGGCAACAACTTTTGTGACTGATTTGCATGGTGAGTCCACTTTCAGCAACCCTGATGAACCTGCAAAAAATCAACAAAAATAAGCTCAAGACATCAATAAAGGAGATGTGATTGGAAGTTTGCAAAATTCAGTTCCAGTTAATGTACTTTATCAACTACAACCTTCCAATCGAGAACTGATTGTAGGGGAACAAATTGGAAAGATTGCCCACCAGGTAGATGAAAAAGTTAGAGATATGCAGGAGGTGGATCAGCAAAGTCCTAGGGTCCCGTTTCAGTCACACGAAATTGTAACAGATAACAATAAGCAGCAACATCATGGTGACAAATTATGCAACAATCAGGCAAGCTTGGTGAGTACAAGTAGGGAGGAAGAAGAAGAGTATTCTCAGCTTCAGGAGCATTGTATGGCACTGGTGGAAGTTCCTATGGCAATGCAAGTGGATGAAACAAAAATGATTCAAATTGAGTCTCCTAACAGAGTACTTCATAATATTATAACGCATAATTTAGGAGAAAACATAGAAGGTGATTCATCTAATACAAATTAGATTGCTATGGGGATTACAGAGGAAGAAAAATTTGATGACTTACTGGAGAACATTGCCACAAAAGCAGACTTATCACCAAGGATTATGAAGATTGCTAGAAAAGGGAAGAAGCAAGGAAGTGGAGATCATAGTCAACCTATCAGAGTTCAACCAAAGAGATCCAAAACAACATACAGTAAGCAATGTAGGCTTTTATATGGAATATTAGATCGGTAAAATCCCAACTAGCTTTTTAAAGGGTGCAAATGTTACACAAGTTTCATAAATTTTCATTTATTGGATTAATGGAGCCTTTTCAGAACTCTAGGCAGATTAACAAATACAAAAGGAGATTGAAGATGCAAAATGCTTTAACTAATTGTAACGGCAAGATCTGGTGTTTTATAAGCCGGGACATAGATATAACAGTGATACAAGATACAGAGCAATAATTAACTATGAAACTGAAGCAACATATAGTTATTAACAGTTTTTATATTACATTAGTGTATGCTAAATGTAATGCAGGCCAAAGACATGTCCTATGGGATGATATTTATCAACTAGCAATAGGGATGCATGATCCTTGGTTTATTGGGGGTGACTTTAATGTGGTATTGAATGCGGAAGAGAAAATAGGGGGTTTACCAGTTATTGCAGCTGATTATGATGACTTTGAGAATTGCATCTCATCATGTGATCTAACAGAGGTTAAGTTTAAGGGGAGCCATTTCACTTGGTGGAATGGTAGGGCAGGAGATGATTCCATTTTTGAAAGATTAGACAGAATTTTGATCAATCAACAAATGCAAGGATGGTTTAATCACACTGAGGTGGAACACTTACCTAGAACAGGGTCTGACCATGCTCCGTTGTTATTTTCTTGTGATGTTAACAAGGTCAAACACAAGAAACCTTTCAAATTCCTTAAATTTTGGACAGAAAATAATGCTTTTCAAGATATAGTTAGTCAGAATTGGTGTACCAATGACTCTCAAAATCCTTTTCTGAACATTAAGGAGAATGTAAAGAGAGTAAAATCTGCGTTGACAAAATGGAGTAGGGAAATCTATGGAGATATATTTAAGCAAATTATCATTGGAGAAGATATTGTCAAGTTTAAGGAAAAGTTGTTTGATGAGTTTCCTACTACTACAAATAGAGAAGTGCTACAGAGAGCTCAAGCTGAGTATAAAAAATATCTTCACTTTGAAGAGATTTTTTGGCAACAGAAGGCAGGTTATGATTGGTTTGAAAATGGGGACAGAAGTACAAGATTTTTCCATAGTGTTGTGCAGGGCAGAAGAAAAAAGCTTCATATTCAAAAAATTCAGAACTCTCAAGGTAATTGGTTAGAGACAGAAGAAGACATTGCAACCGTGACAGTATCTTTCTATCACAATCAATTCTCTCAAGAAAGAGATGTTTCATCTTTCTCGCTGCTCAGACACATTCCCGAGTATATCAGTGAAGAAGAAAATTTAAAGCTTTGTAGACCTCCTGATCTGAATGAAGTTAAAAAGGTGGTGTTCGAATTAAATGGAGATAGTGCGAGTGGTCCAGATGGTCTAACAGGTAAATTCTATCAAAGCTGTTGGGAGATTGTGGGGTGAGATATTCTCAGAATGGTTCATGACTTTTTCAGAGGTAATACCCTTTCTAAATCAATTACACACGCTAATTTGGTTTTAGTGCCAAAGAAGGAGCAAGTTCGGGAGTTCACTGATTTGAGATCTATTAGCTTGAGTAACTTCATCAATAAGATATTATCTAGAATTGTTCATAACAGAGTTGAAATCCTTCTCCCCAGATTAATCTCTTGCAATCAATCAGGTTTTGTTAAGGGGAGAAGCATCATTGAAAATGTCTTATTAACTCAAGAAATTGTTTCAGATATTAGAAAGAGGGGTAAGCCTAGCAATGTACTCATTAAATTGGATATGGCTAAGGCTTATGACCGAGTTTTCTGGTTCTTTTTTATGAAAGTGTTAAGGAAAATGGGTTTTTCTGAAGTGTTTGTTGACATTATTTGGAGATTACTCTCTAATAATTGGTATTCTATCCTTATTAATTGTCACTCTCATGGTTTCTTTCATTCAACTAGGGAAGTAAAACAAGGGGATCCTTTATCTCCTATTTTATTCATCTTGTCAACAGAAGTTCTAAGCAGGGCCCTAAATTCCTTATATGAAGATAGTTAATTTGTAGGGTATGGTTTACCTAAGTGGAGTACAAATTTGAATCATCTTGCATATGCTGATGACACTATCATTTTTGCTTCAGCTAATAAGTATTCTTTGGATAAAATTATGGCTATAATACAGGCTTATGAAGCACAATCAGGTCAGAAGGTTAACAAGGACAAGAGTTCCTTTTATGTTCATCGAAACGCAGCAACATAAGTGATGCATGTAGTGGAGGAGTGTACTGGTTTTTCAAGGGGACAATTTCCTTTTAAATACTTAGGGTGTCCCATAACACATTCCAGGAAAAGAAAATCTCATTATGATGATTTGTTGAATAAAGTTAAGGCTAAACTACAAGCCTGAAAAGGGAATATGCTCTCATACGGAGGTAAAGAGGTTTTGATTTCTAGTGTTCTACAAAGTGTCCCTGTGCATGTGTTATCTGCTAATTTTTTTTGGAGTAATAAGGTCAATAGCAGGGGTAAACACTGGGCTAATTGGGAGAAGGTGTGTCTACCTAAACATGAAGGAGGTTTAGGTTTTAGATCTATGTTTGATGTCTCTCAAGCCATGTACGCTAAACTCTGGTGGAGGTTTAGAACTCAGAACTCCTTATGGGCTAATTTTATGTGGAATAAGTATTGTAAAAAACAAATTCTAGCACTTGTGCAGTGGAAAGGAGGATCTCAGTGGAAAAACATGTTACTAAACAGGGAACGCCTTGAACAATATATATGGTGGGAACCTAAGGGAGGTTCAGTTTCTATTTTGTATGACAATTGGACCATGCTTGGTCCACTTCACAATCACCATTCAGAGGTGATGTCATGTTATCCATTGACAGAGGTGAATGTTTTTGTGAGAAATATATAAGAAAAATATTATTGAATTGTGTATCTAAATAGTTACATTGAGACCCTATTTATAGACACTACATTGGAATCCTTTTCCAACTAGGATTCCTATTCTTATTCCTATTCCTATTTCTATTCTAAGTAGGAAATACTTATTTCTATTCTAACACTCCCCCTCAAGCTGGTGCATACAAATCATATGTACCTAGCTTGTTACAGATGTAATTAATACGAGGACATGTGAGGGACTTGGTGAAGATATCTGCAAGCTGATCATTTGACTTCACAAATTTCGTAACAATATCTCCCGAGAGTATCTTTTCTCTGACAAAGTGACAGTCAATCTCAATGTGCTTAGTCCTTTCATGATCAATTTTGCCAAATTTTAGTTCTCCCAGCAACTGTTTGATCCAAACTAGCTCACAAGTTGCTGTCGCCATTGCTCGATATTCTGATTCTGCACTAGATCGAGCAACCACATTCTGTTTCTTACTCTTCCACGACACCAAATTACCTCCTACTAAAACACAATATCCGGATGTCGAACGTCTGTCAGAGGGTGATCCTGCCCAATCAGCGTCTGTATATCCAATGATATGCTCATGGCCTTGATCCTCAAAGAGTAGTCCTTTACCGGGAGCTGACTTTATATATCGCAGAATACGAACAACTGCTTCCCAATGACTATCACAAGGGGAAGTCATAAACTGACTTACAACACTCACAGGAAAAGAGATGTCAGGTCTAGTCACTGTGAGATAATTCAACTTTCCAACAAGCCGTCTATACCTTTCAGGATTACTAACCATGTTAAATTAGGTCTTAGGCCTAACTCACACCCCAAAAGCTAGCTCAAAGGGAGG